CTGAATAAAATAACTGGGCTAGTAGGACAGATAACCTTGTTTTGTGTTTGAAAATTGGCAATTGTCACGAATCTAATATTATCAACAACTTATTCGTTCGTACGTGGGACTTGGAAACATTATTATTATGGCAAATGAAAAATAATCATTTTCAGTGTCACTTGTTCCTTTTCATTTATTTAATTTAATGTCACCAAAAGTCAGACCTATTGATCTTGTGAATCACGCCAAATCTGTTGCCGAGGTACACTGATCAGTTGACCAATTAATTTTACTAATCTCTTATATTATGAATAGGGTTTTCATTCGAGCCATGTTGCAATCATTAAATATATGGTTAGTTCCTCACAAAACCATTCAAAAACGTTGAATTATTTCAACATTAAAGAATCGACATGGATTTCCGAATATTTTGATTCGACATTTCGGTCTTCTCTTCAGCAAATCAGGGGCCAAGATCAATGGCAACTGTTTAATCACTTGTGGTTTGCCGACCATCTGATTCTCGCAAGGTTTCCAGAGGAACTATCGCGGGGAATCCAACGGTTAGGCGACGCTAGTTTCAAATCAAGACTGAGAATGAACCTCAGAAAGACTCAAGTGAAGTATGGTGAAGTGACTGCACAGTGCCCAAGGGGTTTTCTCTGAAACTGGAATGTCCCCGTTTCGATTGTGTTTAACGGACGACTTTGGTACTGACTGCGAATTCCCTTTGAAGAGTTAACAAGGAGTTAATACCATGTTGCTTCAGCGCAACCAGCGGAGAAACGGGTAGTAAGACTGTGACTTATCAAAAATAGTGTTAACATGGTATTTTTTTCTGGTTATGTTAGAATGGATGAGGTTCAAGTCAAGGAATTCAAACTTGAAGATGTGCACAACTACATCATTCTGGGAGAGGTGACCTCTGCATGGGGTAAACAATAATAATACATGAAATACTTTTGAAAGACTGAAAATGAAGCAGTTCACAAATTATTATTGACTACAGTAAGCAGCATTGGAATATGATATTAGAGAAGGCAGGAAAAAGTAGGGAGCTGAATAATACATGAATGCTAATGCGAAAATCTGTGATATCATTGCAAAAGTGAGAAGATCAAAATGACAATGAGATAAACATGTTGCAAGAACAAGGGGTCATCGCTGGACGAAAGAGGCAGATAGATTGGCATATAAGAGGACAGTGAATGGCCCACTGGAAGAGCTAAACCAGGTGACTCTTGTTCATTTCAGCCACTGTTTCCTTGTAACGTTTGAAGAGTGTTCTCATCATTACTTTGTAGCATTTTAAGGAATAAAGGAAAGAATAGTTTGTAACCGCTGAAGCATCGGTGTTTCTGACACTTACATGATGAGGCCATATTTAGCACCAGATTAGTTATCGTACAAATTTGGGCGCTGAACACCATTTCCGTTTCATAAGCCTGGAGTGCCATTTTTAAAGGAGGAATGGACCACAACTATGTGATGAGGATAGTCCATATTCGCCTGTTTCTTTTCGTCACATTTTGCAGAGTGGCATTCATTTATCAACCTCAGAATAAAGAAAGTCTAGTGACTTTAATCGGGGATCTAATCAAAAACCTCTAAGTTTAGAGTCTGGCGCTCTACCGATTTCTGGTAAATTCTTTGCTTAAGGGATTATTACTAAGGAAAAATGTTCTCCTCCACTGGAATAGTTCTCAGCACCTCCAGAGTTCCCGTTCGAAGCCGGCCTCTTACGCAGTATGCCACTTCACACTGTAAGGGGCTAACGTTGAATACCAGGTTATTTCGTTATCACTGAAGTTGTTCAAATGTTCACAATAGAATAATTTCAAGATTCCTAACGTATGTTTGTAAGGCCACGTCTTTCACTGCTCGATGAATTTGCCTTCTGTTTTCTTGATGACCGAAGGTCACTTTCAAAAATGACCACGGACCAGATGAGAGATTCGCATATAAGAGCATCACCAATACCCTGGTGCTGAGACTTTGTTCTATTTTGGATTTGTGATTTTCGCACTTTCCGCCTGTGGACTGATATTCTCGTGTTTTTTTTGTTGAATTTAATCAGCATATTTGCGATGGGATTAGGGATTGAATTGCAACGAGGCAATCCACGATAAGTCTAACACATTTGAGTCTAATTCTTCAATAAGATCGGGTTTCACTCTTACTTACAGACATATGGTTCAATAGACTCTGTTGGAACAGATTTTGACGTAAGCAGGGCTTCGTGCGACTATTGGTGATATTAGTCAAATTTCTCCTTAGCGAAATCCTTTAGGAAATCTTATTTAAAAATCTTTACCTGCTTTGCAAAAGGCTATATATGCCTTTCTTGTAGGATAACATCTCCCACTATATGGTGTTATGTTAATTTTGAATCATAGAGCTTTACAAAGTGGTTGAGTCTTTGTCAAATTATGGCGAAATATTCACCACATATCTGATCTCATTTTTATCCCCGCAGTCTTTTCACTATTGGTAACTTTCTGCAATTAAAGTAATGAAGAAGCATTGAGTTTGGGTGAGAAAAAGAATGCACAATTATCTAACATCTCTGAGGGCGTTCAGTTAATTAATTGGAATTTTTTGGGTCATTGCTGGAATCACAGTGACAAAGTGGTAGTCTTCGAAATTCGGAATGCCGGAAAAAGGAAAACATCTGTTTCAGCTTTTAATCCCTTCGCATGTCAATAATTTACCTAATTTCGAGCTGGTGCAACCAGTCGAGAAACGATTAGCAAATCGCTGATTTTCCAGCAACAACAGCGGTGGCATGGTGTTCTGTTGTGATCAAACCAGAGTGGGCGAAAAGTAAAGCCGTGCTGTTTGATGTGTGCGCCAAACAGTGCTACAATTCGCCATGATCCACCTGAAGGCTGTGTTTTCAATGCGACAATCAGCAGAATGCGCAGGCCTTGTTATTGCTGCTGTTGCTGTTGCTGTCGCTATATTCGTAATGCTTAAAATATTCTGTAAAACAACCAGCTTAATAACAACTTCCTGCTTTACAGACGTTGGCCACCAGCATTTCACTGTCAGCAATCGCCACCAATGGGCTAGTAGAAGGTACAGGGGAATAAGTTTTCATGACATATTCGAAATTATTAATTTTGTATTTCAGAAGGAGGGCCTTATTACGTGATATCAAGAAACCTCAGCCCTGAATTCGGTGCAGCAATTGGAATTTTGTTTTTCATAGCGAACGCCGTGGCCACATCGATGTACGCCGTTGGTTTTGTTGAAGTGCTTCTGGTATGGCGTTTTGAACAGCTCGTTATTAAATGCACCTAATGACAACGGTAGTTGACTGAGTAATAATTACCATATTTCATAGCGATTATTCGCATCTAACGGCACTTTTGCAAGTGATTGGTTTTGGTCAAACCGGAAATGAAAATCATCGCATATCTGAGATTTTTCTGATTGTGCTGGAAGTTTGCGTTCACTTGTCAGCTTATTTACTAGGTAAAATCAAACTATAAATGACCGTATTGTAGACCTCCAAATGAAGGTATTTTATTGCATCTGCCAAAATAACTGCTGTATTCCATCGTATCTGTTCGCCTGTCAGAGCAATAATACTGAACCGAAGTATAAAATCGCTTTATACGCTTGGTCATAGAGAGCTGTTATACATGGCCCATATCTACTTATTCGTTTTCATTCTAAAATGCGGCTTATTGTACAGCGAAGTTATGAAATATTGTTATTTCGGTACAGTTCTCAGACAAGTTGACAGAAGGATAGACAGACAGATGGATAAATGCTTAGACAGATGAATCAGTAAATGAATTTACTGAATAATAGACAGATATATAACTGTGTGAATGGATACACAATTGAATAGATAGATACGTGGATAAGTAGATGGATAGGTAGACTGATAAATAGACAGAGAGAGATAGATAGATTGATAGATTAATTTATTGACAGATTAACGGATTAAAAGAGAAATCGGTACATAGATGGTTATATAAGTAGATTAATAGATAGATAGGCTGACTGACTGATTAAAAGATTGAGAGATAAATAGACAGAGTCCTAGAGAGATAGACAAATCAAAATATATATAGAGATAAATATGTAAATCGATATATTGGTTGACTGATACTGGAATAAATGCATAACTAATTGTCCAATTACGCTGATCTCTCTGTACTTTAATGGAAGGATGGATGGCCAGGTAGATGGGCAGATAAATCATTACATCGACAGAAAATTTGACGTTAAAACAAGCGATAAATCCTGCCTGGTAATTAGCGAGGACGGTTCCAACGATCCTTCTGGAAAATTCAGATGATGAAGGGCGACGCTCGTAGACTAGCTGAATAGAAGTCCTCAAGGATAGAGCCCTACCACTAAACGCAGGGGTTAAGCAATCTTGACGGTCTAAATGAAGTCTAACAAATTTGGAGTCATCATGCAGATTTCTTAGATGATCGGTGGTCGTTTAGAGTCACCTCCTATTAGCTGAATATTGCTATATTTATTCGGCACTGAACCTTAAGTCGTATTTGGTTAATCATATGTGATGATAGTGAAAATTTAGGGCAAACTGGTTTTGGGCAAGGTTGCATTCGTTTATGTAATATTCAAAATGATGGGAATTTTTAGCTGATATTGTACAGCGTGCTTATTCATGTTGGTCAAATATTTGGACACTTGTAGTTCTCGTTCATAAACGACTGTTGAATTTTATGCAGAAATACGTGGCGCCAGATTTACCTCAGTTCGGGGAACCCGGAAGTCGAACAATCGCGGATATGCACAATACCTTTCGAGTGTACAGCTCGCTTGTGTTATTGGTATTCTTTGTGATCGTATCGTTTGGAGTGAAATTCACACAGCTGTTCGCACCCATCAGTCTGATATGCGTTTTCGTCTCCATCGGTGCCAATTTTGTTGGTGCTTTTATGGCCAAGGAGTCGAATAGCCCATTGTAAGCTCAATTTGTTTTGAAAAATTTGAATAGTTATCCGTTTAAGTGTCCTTCCACAATTTATCTTTAAAACTCCCGTATTGATCATTTTATTTCATATATTTATGTGCTCGAGAGATATAATTAATTTAAGATCTACTTTGGCAAATTTGAGGAGCCAAGATGCGATTTTAGCAAGGCTTATTTTCAAAGGTGCTTTGTGAAAACACCTTAGGCAGAATTCAATAAAAAAAAATATAAATTTTATGTTATGAGTACTTTCTTATTACGTTGATTTCATCCTTCTAGCTTAATAACCAAAGGTTTT